AATAAAAGCTTCTTCCACGTCGTCAAGCTTCATTTCACTTTGGTGAAATTTACGGTAGTTGGTGCAGCGATGCCTTTCGGAAGTACAGAGATGGAGAGCGGTGTGAGTTTCCATTGTTATGGGGCTATTTGTCAGTCACTGTTCTTTACCAACAGTATTTTTGCTGTAATTTATGTAACTTGATCAAATTACTCGTATTATTAGTTGGATGAAATTAATCAAACAATTTTGGAAGTTATTTATACATAAGGATTATAATATAGAATTAAAAATTCAGTAATGAATCAAGTTCAACAATATTAGTATAGTTACATGATTGATCCATAATTACGTACTCTTCCTAAAATTGAACATTAAAGTTAACATTTCTAATTGATTAGCTATTTCATGGTCCCGCAACTGACGTAATTTTTTCTATTTGATTTTAATAAAATTTCAACCCTTCGACAAAAAGAAAACTGAGTTTAGCATAACTACAATAAATTAAATTATGGCCGCTTAGTTTAATTGAAATGTAGTTTTTTTAATTGAATTGTTTGCAGTTATTAAAATATAACCACAACTATTATTCTTAATGTTGATGAAACTGGTCTGGCAGATGACATCCGTGCTTATGATGGATGTGGAAACGTTGGCGTTCTAGTTTTTTAATTTAGATCGGATTGAAATTCTCGACAAAGTTTTTATCAAGGCCCATTATACACCATATCCTCTTTGTTTGTACGTTTCTCTACTTCAATGAATATTGTAATGTTTCAAAAAAAAAAAAAAAAAAAAAAAAAAACCCGAATGAGAATGGGACATAATAATTATTTTTTTGGGTCTGAGGATAAGATAATTAAAAGTCATAAAAGAAATTATGTTAAATTATTGAAAAGTATAAAAGAAATTTGGAAAAATATATATAAAAGAAATGTGGAGTAGATGATGTTGGAAGTATAAATGGACGGTTAAGATAATGACATGTGTCACTAGATGCTAGAGGCTGTTCTAGTTGATAGTAGTGCTTGTTTGGAATCAGTTAGAGAAGGTAATATTGTTGTAACTTCTTCATCCAGAAATACAGAACTATCTTCATCTTGGTTCAGCTTCTCTCTACCTAATTTCTCCCTCTAAAACTCTGTTTCCTTTTCTGCAATATTACACGATTAACAGATGACACTCGCCATCGATATCCCAATTGCTGATTTAATTAACAAATTCAATATAATTTTGGGAGTCAATATTTAATCATCTTATGGGGAAAATTTCTTTGGTGGAAGTTTCATTAAAGTTGTTGTGGCAGAAGAGACTTGTTCTTCCCCCAGTTTTCAATGTCCTAGTTTTTCTGTAACACAATAAAATGTCCAAGTTTCTCACTTAAGAAATTCCTATATATTGACTTGTCATTTTCATCATTTCTCTGTCAACCAAGTTAGGTTTTAAAATTTGCTTCAAATGGCTCATTAAGTTATCAACTATGAATTAGTCATACCTAAGTGTTTTCGGAGAGCATATAGGAATATTACTAGAACGCAGTATTAAGTGACGGAGCATAAAGATTTAGAACTAAACAAGTTTATGATTTGATTAACGAACCACAACCACCTCTTACATATTAATATGATTATTATGAACCATTACTATTGTATAACTCTGAGTCACTTTTGCACTGACGCTTGACACTAACATATCTCTTTGGGTATATTATCAATTTCCCCCCTGAACTTGTGACCATTAGCCAATTTCCCCCCTCAACTTTAATTTTGGCCAATTTCCCCCCTGAACTCTCATGATTAGTCAATTTCCCCCCTCAACTTTAATTTAGCCAATTTCCCCCCTCAACTCTTATAATTAGTCAATTTGCACCCTACTGTTAAATTTTTAATTTGATCATAATTAAACAAGTGTGTGTAAGAAACTAAATAAGATGTATGTTAATCATGTTCCTATATCTTTATCCTATTACAAATAGATTAAAATTTAGAATTTTACAATTTATCATAGATAGTATTATTAGTCATAATAAATCAGTATGGAGTAATTTTATTTGATTTTTGACTATACAAAATTGATAACAAAAAGGATTGATGTGTAAATTTTTGTATGTGAATACAATTTTCTTTATAAAAGTGAAAACTAAGTTCAAGTAAATTGCGGAGAATCGAGCTTTAGTAAAAAAATGGCTAGTCTATTCATAATTTTCGACTCTTTATTAAGAATAACCCATTTTATTGAAATAGGTTTGATCCATGAGTTTAGGATTATTATTTCTTTTTGTTATTATTTCTTCTTCTACATGCTTTAAACCCGATTCATAACTTTTTCTTATAATCAACCCATGTCACATACTAACTGTATTATGTTTTTGTACATTTCACCCTATATTATGCAGGTGAGTTTATGTTAATTTTAGTACTTTGTTGGAAGCTATTAGAAAGATTGAAAATTAAGAAAAGAATAGATGGAAAATTTAAAAAAAAAAATTAACAGTAGGGTGCAAATTGACTAATTTTGAGAGTTGAGGGGGGAAATTGGCCAAATTAAAGTTCAGGGGGGGAATTGAATAATTATGAGAGTTGAGGGGGGAAATTGGCCAAAATTAAAGTTCAGGGGGGAAATTGGCCAATGGTCACAAGTTCAGGGGGGAAATTGATAATATACCCTATCTCTTTTATCATTTGAACTTATTTCTATTTTTCTAATTAAGATTGGACATTTCACTTATGCGGAACCAAACCGTGCAAGTAAGGCTCGTTCTTTAAATTAAAAAATTAAAAAAAAAAACTAATGAAAAAGGTTTGAAAACTTTAAGTCTTAACGATAATGACAAAATAAAGGGTAAATTGAATAGTATCAAGATTGATTTTTTAGTGTAAAAATATGATTTTTCGTTAATGTGAACAATACCGGGAGTTTTTCGTTAAAATTCCCTTAAAAAAAAATGTGACTTGGTCAATTAATGTGATGTATATAATATTAGAGTAATACTAATTAGATCAAATTAGGTGAGGTTAACATTGAACTTAATAAGTGAGACTTGATACAAACAGCAATCCGACTCTGAACGTATCATAGATTCATAATCTTAACCACTGTTTAAGAAAAGAAAGGACCTCCTACTTGGAATTATTGATATTTTTTTTTATATGTAATCAAATTTGTGAGGTTCTTGCCGCCCTTCGTAAACATTTACTTTTATATATAAGCACAAAATTAAGGAAAAAGCCAAAATAACAATAGAGAACACCATGCATGATGAGGACCACCTATAGCACTTTAGGGAGTTCCCAAATTGAATTGCTGGCTGCAATAATGAAACCAGAAATAGAAAAAACGATAATAATAACGCTGAGATCTTCAGAAATGAAAAAAAAAAAAAAAAAGTAATAGGAAGTTACATATTGATATGATCCCAAGGAAAGTGGGTTTATATTTCGTTTCTGAAGATACTTTTGGGAAGTTGCATATATCATTTCAGTTTGAACTCCATTCATTAAAACCACAAATGTTTTTTTTTTTTATACACACGTTAAACTGTGATTAGTATGTAAGTACTACTGGTTATTTTCAAGGGTACTTCAAATTTTCAAGGAAGAAGGTAAAATGACTTTTTATTGGGAAAGAGAAATGCTAAAGAGACTTTCAAAATGTGACTTTTTATAGGTTCTTTGCCATCTTACATTTTAATATTAATTTCCTTGTCAAAGTTATAAAATACTCTGCAAAAAAAATGAGTTCATAAAAAATCTCACTTTTAAGAGAATTTTCTTAACATTTCTATTTGAAAAATTATGAAGTCTAAAAGTAATCATTATTGCAGCAAGCAATTGAATTTGGGAACGCTTCCAAAAGTATTTTTTTTAGGAAAATTACGAAGTTGATGAAATCTTCAGAAACGAAAAATAGTAACAGTAATAGGAATTGGGTTCTTTGGAATACAAAATCTCAAAGTTCAAAGTAGTCATTATTACTTGCATACTAATCACAATTTGATGTGTGTATAATATTTATTTATTTACTTTTTTTTTTGTGATTTTATTGAATTAGGCTTATATATGTATATGTCAAACTGTAATGTATAAGTAATACATAAGTAATACGGTATGCAGTGTTGAATTCAAAAAGTGGTAATAAAAAGTTACATAGTGATACATAGATTTGTAAGTTGAGTAGTCATGGTCTTTCAACTTTAACTCAATCAGAGCAATGATCCCTCAACTAAAACTTCATTAACAATGGTCCCTCTACTCATCAAAACGTGCAGTTATGGTCATTTTCGTCAACTCCGTTAGTACTTCCGTCAAAATGAATCACGTGACTTGCACGTGAGGCTGAATCAAGGGGCAAATATAGAAAATCAAATAAGAAAAATTGTATTAATGGTCCCTCAACTTTAATCCAACTGAAGAAATGGTCTTTCAACTTTAATCCAATTAGAGCAATGATCTCTCAATTTCAACCCAATTATAGCAATTGTCCTTCCAACATAACTTATTTTGATAGAATTTTGATAGAGTAGATGAAAATGACCATAACTACACGTTTTGATGGTTGAGGGATCAATGGTAATGAATTTTTAGTTGAGTGACCATTGCTACAATTTACTCTTGTAAATTCCCAAAAAGAGAATACTTAGCCCCTTGGAACCAAACATCTCTCGACATCTGTAAAGCACACTTTCATATATGCCCAAAGAAATTTCTTTTATAATATCAATCACTAAATTTATACATGTGTTAAACTGTGATTTGCACGTAAAGAAATCAATTAATGTTCAGTCCGAGAAAGCCAAAGTAACAACAATCCATTGCTACCTGAACCAAACGTACAATGTAAGGAAACAAAAACAATAAAGTAAAAACGAGTGACTCACCAAAGCTTTGTAATACATCCATGATCCACGACTGATTGGTTCCTTGTCCAACAAGGCAAGGCCTTAAACTTAAAATCACATCCCCAACTTTGACTTCAAGTGTTTGACTTGACATCTTGGATTTATAAAACCCTTGGGCGGGCTTTGGCTTAATTATAAGTCTGTCCGTCTTCCACAGAGACTAGTCTTCTTCAAGGAAAACTCTGCAAATTCCTCCCTTCTTCTTATTCTTCTTCCTCCTCCAAAACCCTTCGATTCTCGGCATAAAAACTACTTTTGATTAGTTTTTGTTATTATTTTATTATTCCTGGTCAGAGCTTCAGGCCCGATTGAAATGAAGGTGTAATTTCTCACTCTGGCGCTCTAATCCAATTTATATACTAAAGTTTCTTTGTTTGTGAAAATTTCCTGCAACTCTGTTTTTTTGTATTTATTTTCTTTCAAGGATTATTGGGTTGATAAGAATATTATCAGATAGTTTAGTTTAAGTTTCAAAAACCTTCCTTTTTGCCCTTTCAGACAGAAAATAAAATCATCTTCTCAATTGTTTTCGGCTGTTATTTCATGCTTAGATTTCTGAACTTTTTTTATCCTTCTTGTACTTCTGATTTTAGTGACTGATTTCAGATTTTAATGATGAATGTCCATTTTCTTTCTGCAGAAAGTTGTACTGAAATTGGATTTACACGATGACAAGGAAAAGCGAAAGGCCTTGAAAGCAGTCTCTAGCCTTTCAGGTATCAACGATCAACTATATATAGCATATGTTAGTTCAATTTGCCTCCATGAAAAACTTAGAAAATAATAAAAAAAAAGTGATTTCTGAATTCTTTCATTTATCCGCACCTATTCGAGCATCCATCCGGGATATTATCACCGAGAATTTTTTTAAAAAAAAAAAATAACAATCATAGGCTTTGTTGAATCATAATATTAATATTTCATGCACTTATTGACTTTTTCTTCCCTCACTTGTATAAATTTTGCAGGCATTGACTCAATTGCTATGGACATGAAGGAGAGGAAACTAACAGTGATCGGCGACGTTGACCCGGTGGATGTCGTGGCCAAACTGAGAAAAGGGTGGTACACAGACATTCTAACAGTTGGGCCAGCAAAGGAAGAAAAGAAGGATGATAAGAAAGATGGAGGGGCTGCCAAAAAAGATGAAGGCAAGAAAGAAGATGATAAGAAGAAGGCTGATCCAGTTGCTGAACTTGTCAAAGCCTACCAAGCATACAATCCTCACATGACCAAGTACTACTATGTCCAAAGTGCTGAAGAAAACCCTAATTCCTGCGTTATCTGTTAATTAATTGATGATTAGCGGTTTGATCATGTATTTTTGGTAAGGCCATCTGAATTTTAATTTCTAATCATGTTATGGAACCAATTGGAGGCCAGCCAAAGAAAAGTTTGTGGTATGTTTATATGGTGCAAGTAGCTTGAAAAGTAAGTGTCTGAACTTTGAGATTTCAAGCATTTTGGTAGTAAAATTCAAATGGGGTTTTCAAGTTTGCTACAATTTGAATTCTTATTTTAGATTAAAGTTAAATCCACAGCTAATTACTTACCTAACTTCTATCAAATTCATGTTTGATTTGGGTTGTTTTGATCTGTTAACTTCTGCTACTTAACATGATTACTTGTGGATGAAATTTTTTGGACTGCAATAAAAAATTACATGATTATTCATCATCTGGGCCAGTGGGAATTAATTTAGTTTTTCTTTGACAAGTTCATAAATCTTTTATTTGAAATCCATAGGGAGAATGATGTATTTATAATATTGGAATGGTTTATGGAAATTTGTTAGATGCACGATCCCATTGTTTAATAGAAGAAAAAAAAATAAGTGGCAAACAATTCAGCTCACCAGAAGAAAATGAAAGAAAGAGGCAATGGCACACACATTGACTTCTAGGAATTATAAATATTATAAATATTTTTATTTAAAATTAAACACAAATAGTGCTTTATAAAAACTGACCGCACGATATACGATGAACGAACACGATTCACAGATCACCAAGATCCCTATCAAAAGGATCCGGAGAGGATCCTGTTGGGACTTGTAGAACTAGAAGAAGAGATCCTTTAATCTATGGATTCGGATCATGTTGATGTGTGACTACACATACAAAATTTAGGCTTTTTAATTAGAGTATTAATTCAATTGTAGTGCCACTACAACAATTGTGAGACACGAGTCGTATGCTGAAAAACTGTACGTAAGAACTTCGAAAAAGAGGCCAAAACTTATATTCAGTGCTTTTGGAAAATACTTATAAAAGCTATAAAATGTCTGTCTGTTCCTCATCCACTGCAACCAATTTAAAATATTTCAATTGTTTTTGGTGTTTCTTGGTTTCTCGATCAATGTTAAATATTTGGGTTGATCGCTGATTTTATGTAATTTGTTGTTTCCCTTGATATTGAAGTTGTTGAAACCTTCTTATGGTTAGGGTGTTCAATTTCTAATTATGTAATTTATTGTTAAGAAAATTAATTAAATATTTTCACACAAACAAGAGAAAAAAGAACGTAGTTGATCACAAGGGTCATAGACCATATGTTGCGCTGGCCCATAGCTTGTCAAACAAATTAATGGATCAGCTTTTTGACCGCGATTGGATCAAGTTCAACGTCTTTTTCTATTTATTCACAGACCGGGACGGCTCAATTAACAAAAAATTTCCATGGGTTCGGATCTTTGCGGAGATTAGTCCCTAACTAGAAAATGTGTTCGTGCTTCGCTGCGGGGACAATGTATGAGTCGGAACATGCATAAATAGTTTCTACACAAAGTAACTAAAATGATAATACAGTACGTAAGAACCAATGAAGTGATACTTTGCTTGCTATATATGGATATGCATGCTATAAGAAACAATTAATTTGCAGATCGTATTTTGTCATCACATTATAGTAATCAGCCCACTCCATTCGTGAAAAACAAAGAAAAAAAAGCAAACAGAAAAGTAGAAGACACAATACTTGAGCATCTGGCAAGAATGGCAAGCTTGTGAAAAAATTGCAAAACCTCTTACAAATTCAATCGCCAAACGTTATACTGTAACCCAAGATAAAGATAAAGCATATAGTTTGTTTACAAATCAAAACAAACTGCTGCCATAATGTGCGACTGAAAAAATGCTTCTTAATGCGGTCTTGCAAGAAATGAATGTTGTTCCAAAACAACCCAGAAAACACCCCATAAATCTTTACCACCCCAATCTTACTAAATAGAAGCATAAATGGGCAATCGAGAACTTCATCAAATAAACAACAAAAAAATCTAATGTAATCTGTCAAAAACCAAAATAAAAAATAAAATGAAAGTGATTATTTGAAGGCAACATGGGCTATTGTTTGGGCTATTCCAAATAATTATTAAATAAATAAGAAGACAGGAATTGACATAAACCCAACAAAGATTGAACACGAAACGACGACAGATCAGACAACGGCCAGCACGGAAACTTCACCCCGTCGTGCGTCACAACTGAATCAATGGCGTATCTCGTATCCTTACCCGATTTTATCATCGCCACATTCCTACACATAAAAAAAATAATAACAAATAAATAAAGTATTAAATTTAAGGGAAATTCAGTACCGATTTAACACGTCCTTACACAAAGCTTCAATCTCTACCCAAAATCTTCACAAATCAAACTTGGCTTTAACCAAAAATTTAAAATTTACCTGCCGCTGTTGCCCTCTAACTTGATCCGGCGGAATAGGGCGGTGGTTTTACCGGCGAACATGGGACCCATGGTAACATGGACCTCGCCGGAGGTAGAAGAGTCACTGGTGGGGGGAATGGAGGGCTTGAAGGAGGCCATGGATTTTGTGTTGCAGAAAGAGGAGGGGTTGAAGATTTGGGCTTTTCCACCGCTTTCCTATTCGCGATGACCAACACGCGTAGACGCGGGGCAGAAAATGGAAAAACCGATTGCAGGAAAGGCTATCGATGAAGAACGCGTGGCCATCGAGGGCAAAGTCGTCCTCTCACTGTGCAAAGGAGGATAAAAAGATACAACCAAGAAGAAGCCGAAGGGCAAATTCGTCCGGACACTATAGAACAATAGTGCCATCCTAAAAACTCAGTTGGGTGTGAAGATTAATTTGGTGTTCGGGGAAGGGTGGAGATGATATTGTAATCCTCTACTCGAACCTGCCGGCTTGAAATATATTAATTGTTCTTTGACAAATCTATTAGGGTGCGATTGTTTGTTATTTTGGCTTTCACTGGATTACGTAGCCTCGTATGTGGTGTTACACGCATGGACCAGCTTTAGTGGAATTAAATAAGACGTGTGTAGACTAAATGCTTCGCTAGCGAGACCCGTGAAAAGTAGAGGATTGCCAAGACGTCGCTAGCAAACCTCGTCTGCTTCGCTTCGTCATGGTCATCTTCCTCCCAAAGGAGCCCACCGGGTGGAAAGTCGGCCCAGCGACGGTGTGCTCGCCGTCGTAAGCCAAGTAAACAATAGACCCCCTCTGCAAGATTCAGCGCTGTAAGAGGTGTGCTGGGATTGGCCACGTCGGTGAATCGGGCGATTTCTTCCTGGGTTTGGATTTGAGTTTCGAGGCGGTGGTGCGCTGCGGGTTCTCCACTGTGACTCGTTCGAGGTCGTCTCTGCTGCAAACTCTGAGCATCATCATTGCGATAAGGTAGCACGAGGTGTTTTGGGGTTTTTGATGTTGGAATAGGAATCAGATTCTGGGAGAGCGTGAGGTGGGGAATTCACATAAACTTGGCGAATGAAGAGAAGCGGAAGTGGTACTGAGAGAAGCGAAAGGGGAAGGGGAAGAGTTGTGGAAGCGGGAGACTAAGAGAAGCAAAGAAGAAGAGTGCTCAACAATATACTACAAACGGACGACTTGTTTTTATTATCTTTTTTTTTTTTTTGGTCCGATATTATATCAAACGTTTCTTTAAGCTAGTCTAGTTTAATTTATTTTAAGTCAATCCAGCTTAGTACATAAAGCTAATCTAATCCGAAATAGTCCGATACAATAAGCACACCCTTACTATTAATAAAGGGCTACGAACTATTTAATTTATTTTTCCAATATTAGTGATATATATTTTCAGATCTTTTAATTTGAACTTTTATTATTTCTAGTCACTTATTATAGTTTGGTAGTATTTCTTTTAGCTAACTGATCCGAAATGGTTCTGTTAAAGTTCAACGTTTATGAATTTTAGTCACTCCAATAAGTCTGCACCCACCTTGACAACCGCTCTATCGAATTCTCTTTTAAGTTTCATCGTTTTTCAGCCCTTGGAAACTCAAGGAGCTGGCCTTGTCAAACAACCCGTTAACCCGCCCAACCCTCCTGAAAACCTATTTTATTATTATTATTATTATTATTTTTTTTTTTTTTTTTAAAGAAGACAACAAATGGCAAGTCATGGTTATTCATCCTTAAAATTGTTCCGATCTTGACGGGTCGGTCGACAGTTTGAGTGTGAATTCAACTCAACCCACCCAATGTCCAGCCCTAATAAATTATAATCTTAGGTATATCATCATATAAATGATTTCATTCTTATTTTGTTCTTCCAGAATATCTTCTTCACAATAATATTGATATAAAACAATCAACAATGAATTCTGTTTCTTGTAAGATAAATTGTTACAAACAGATACAAACTTTTGTCGTACAAAAAATAAATACAAACCTTTTTCACTGAGGTGAAAAAAGAAAAAATGAACTCTTCAGGTACGAGAGGGTATAAAATGAACCAATTTCTAAATTCCCATTGTGGCATTTGGTTCTTTTCCTATGAAAGAAGGTATCCACCACTCAAAATTCCACGAGAAAATAATGAACAAATTTTAATCCAGAAACTAAGGGGGAATAAATGCATCATGATCAACATTTGTAGCTGGGAGATCAGTCACTTCTCTAAGTGGCTTGAACAAGAGGTGACTGGGGTATCGGTGTATGAGGAGACATCATGCACGGAGACATCATGTTGTCATCCGTTCGCCGAGACTGAAAGCTGAGCCTAAGGTTGCTTTGCCATAACCTTTTGCTTTTCCTCGGCACAATTGCTTCCTTGTCTTGTAGCACAAAGGTTCGGATTCGTGTCAAAGCAACTTCCATGGTCTTGTCATCCATGTTGGCAAAGCAAACTCTGAACCAGCCCGGCTCGGGGCAGTGAAACGAAGAACCTGGTGACACATTGAGCTTAACTTCATGGATTATTGTACGCCACAACACCATCTCAGCTTCGAACGTCTGCTCCTTGAGCAGCCTACGCAAGTCCATCCATACGAAAAGACCGCCATTGCTCTTCAAGCAGCTTGTGCCGACTTGAGCAAGCCCCATTGTGAAGCGCATGTGCCTTGTTTTCAGCCTTTTAGCACTGTGTGCTATAAATCTCTCCACAAACTCATTGTCTGACAGCATTGATGCAATCAGATGCTGAGTTTGTGTCGAAACCAATCCAAAACTCGACATCTTTCGTGCGCAATTAACGACAGCATCATTGTAGGAATATACGATGCCAACTCTGAAGCCAGGGAACCCCATGTCTTTTGAAAGACTGTACACAATGTGAATAAGATTGCGGTTGCATCCGATGTTTTCCTCTATGATCTCGGCTATGCTTATGAAACTTGGCTGACTGAACACGGTGGCAGCATAGATTTCATCGCAGACTAGGTGGATTTTCTTTTCGTTGATGAATGTCACTAAACTTCTGAGGGTATCTCGGTCAAGGACAGTACCTAAGGGGTTTGAGGGGTTAGTAATGAGCAAGCCCTTCACTCTGATGTTTGCAATCTGAGCTTTCTCATAGGCAGCTTCCAATGCTGCTCTGGTGACTTTGAAATTGTTGGAGCTGTCACAGGCAACCGGAATCAGTTGTACTCCCGTTCGCCATCCCAAATCTCGATCAAAACTGCAATAAAATAGCAAAAAAATTTAGCAAAATGCTGGACAATACATGTAACTGTTGTGAATAAGTTCAACTTTTAGTTGTATAATTCCATTAAAATGTTTTCGTATCTTCTAAAGCACTATCCTCGATTCAAACTTTGATGCCTTAACAGTTTTCATCAGAAAGATTTTACCATCATAGAAAATTCATCTTAAGTTGGAGGACTTATCTATACTCTAATTCGCCAGTTGGACATCCCAAACTAATAATGCAATATATTTTAACTCCTCCGCGTGGCACCACCGCATAATTGACCATGAGATGTCACATGTTGTGTAGGTAAGAATTGAATTCTATAAGAAACCAATTAGCTAGTACCAAGAAAGGGATGGATGCATTTACAAATAATAACGTCCAAAAGTTTGAACAGTTGTAAACTGTCCTTCTGAAGAAAATGGACCTCCTTTTTCCCCCAAGCACCTTTTTCCAGTTTGTCAAATTGTGGAACTTAATGCATGGTTCTAAGGCAATCAGTTGACCACTGAAGGCCAAGTTGGTCCAAAAATGATAGTAAATTAAAGGCCAACATCCACTTTTTAATTGCTAATTGTGGTATTAAACATATTATTAATTATTTTCTCCCTTCATCATATCAAACTTTGAAATCAATATCCAAACTTACCCTGGATAATAAGGAACGGGCACCAGAAATGCATCTTCAGGATCAGCCAAGCAAAAGGCTATCATCTCATGAGCTCCAGTAGCTCCTCCGCTCATAACAATCCGGTCGGCTTCGAATGTGACACGATTTCCTCTCACTTTTCCCATAAAATTTGCAACAGCCTGTAGATTATTTCACCAAAAAACTTAGTCAATATATAGCCAAAATGTTAATGAAATATTGCCAATTAAGATTATTGTATTATTGTAATATTACGTCAATGCATACATTTCTAAACTCTGGCAATCCATGATAATCCTGAAATATGGCTATGTCCTTGAATTCATTCACCCCTGCTTCTGTGCAAATGGAGGCTTCTGGATTGTTCAAAATCCACTCTTGGATCAAATCAAAACACATCTGCAGAAAGGAGAAGAAACCAAGAGTTAATTTCTTCGAAAATTGCCCAACTTAGAAAAGAATTAGGTTTTCGTTTTTGGAAATTCTTACTTGATTTTCTGCAAGACCCATCTGGATAACCCCATTAGGGTTCTTGGTGGGATGAAAAGGATCACTATCATAAGCCTTCCATCCATCAAAATATGGAGAGTTTTCGCCGTGGCCATTACCTGTTGCCATCTTAGACAACAGTTGCTGTTGGTTGCTCAAAGTAAACCCCATTGTTTAAATGCCTAAAAAATCCTTGCAATGCGGTTAGAATTCTGTCAAAAGTGTACGGAGAAGAGAAGAGCTAGAGGTCTAGGGTTTTGGGTAGTCTTACTGTGCTAAATGGTTTGCTTTCGACGGTTATTATGCAAAGCACAAACAAAAACCGGATGTGTGATTTAGTTAATGAAGCTTCTTCAATTGTATTTATAAAGGAAGTCTGGTCTCAGATGGCTATGAAAAGTGAGAATCTGCTGAAGCTTCCTATGAAGGAGCAATATGGTTGCTATTCCTTATACAGTATATATGAGATATAACCAGGACTATGAAGCTTAGTTGGAAAAAAACACACACTTTCTTGGTCACTTCGTTTTTGCAAGGACAGACAAGACTAGTTTTGAAGGATGTGGATTCTCTCCCGACAAAGAGGATTCATTCTATTTGTTCATCGTACATTTTGTGGCCAATTTGTGTTCGGTACTGATTGTGTTTAATTTTAAATAAAAAATTCATAATGGCTACACGATATACATTAAACAGATAGAACGTGAGGATACCTAGAATCCTCACAAAGAGGATCTGGATGGTATCCAAATCCAGTTTTGAAGGCGATTGTCAACCATCATCAATAACTTTCCCATTTAATATTCTGGATTAATCTAGTCTACATTTAGTTAAACCATCCTATTGGGAAGTTTATAGCAAAAAAACAATTCTATTAGATGATCAACACAGCCAATAAAGCTGATGTGGTATGACAAAATTACTTTTTAAATTTTTTGTTTCATATGGATGATGTGATCTGAGTATCTCAACACAAGTTTTTTTCAATGTTTAGACCCACCAAAATTGCATCATATGATAATCCATCGAAGTTTAGGGTTGGTGTCTTGTTACTAGAGACTCCCCAAAGTTTCGGCTAAGTATAAATTATGAAACATTCGCCATTCCCAAGCATCAAGTAGTAGTTGTCAAGATTTTCAAGTAATCTTCAGTGTGAATGGGATACACGCATGCTTGGTTTTATTTTGAAATCTGGATCGAACAGAAAAACATCTTAGTATACTTGGTCCATCTAGAACGTACAACTTTTGATCCCATATATATTAAATTCAGGTTTTATTTTTTGGTGGAATAGTGCGCCATTTTTTCTGGTGGAATAATGCACCTCAGAATTGCTTTTCAACCAGATGTTTGAGAGTGCTAGTGGATTGATATCTGAGTCATATGATACGAGGCAAAACCACTAGCATTCATAGAATTTCTTGCTCGAACCCACCTCCGCTCAGCCTGGGAGTGTGGGTGTTTTATAAAAAAAAGGGGTTGTTGTTAGACGATCAATTTAAATAAATGATTAGATGAGTAATAAGGTACCATAAAATATCCCTTTAGTTTGCGAATTAGAGCTCTGAGATTGGGTAGGAAATCTCAATGTCGTTGTCGAGAATATAATTCCTGAAACAAATATTTGGGGTTACGTTAGGTTATAGCACATGGTGTCACTCCTGGCTCCACCCTCGCCTCTAGCAGATCATAGTGCATGAAAGGAAATTTAATGAAAACGCACATCCATTTTTTTCTTTTTACACATTCTTATTTAATCATGTTTGTTGATTATGCTTAGTTTGTTCAATTCGATAAAATTAGAAATGAGCATGAGAGTTCTATTCTTAAGAAGTTCATTCTGCAA